TACTCATAACGGAAAGTAAATTACAAGAAAAATAAATGACGGAAAGTAAAGACATAAACGTAAATTGCGTAAAGTAAATGACGAGAAAATAAATAACGAGAAAGTAAATGACGAGAAAATAAATAACGAGAAAGTAAATGACGGAAAATAAATGACGAGAACGTAAATTGCGGAAATTAAATAACGGAAAGTAAATAACAATAAATGTAAAGGAACTTAAAATAAAGAACAAGAAATTAAAAGACAAGAATTAAAAGATGAAAGCTTTAAAACTCAAGAACTTTAGATTTCTCAAAAGGTTCTCTCAAAATCAGCCCTAACCAGCTGATTTTGATCTTGGATATATGTTAAAGAGTGTATCTAAACACAAGGCCAAGCCCCNATTTCTCAAAAGGTTCTCTCAAAATCAGCCCTAACCAGCTGATTTTGATCTTGGATATATGTTAAAGAGTGTATCTAAACACAAGGCCAAGCCCCTCTTTTATACACAAAGGTTGGCACTACACAACAAAAGTATTAACCACAAGTTATTGTCCAAAGGTTAAGTAAATGGGATCTAAAGTACAATATTGCATAGAAAGTCAAAAATCCCAGATTTTAAAAAGTCTTCCAGCTATTTCCAGCTGTCTTCCAGTAAGCATCCAAAAGGCAGCGGCTTAATCGTTAAGCTCCTCGTAAAGCCAAGCACGTATCAGGTGACTGTTGCTGTAATGATGTAGCATCAGGCTGTTTAACAAAAATTTATCCATTAGCTTGTATCTTTGAGTCCCAACAAGTTAACCACAATATTTTAGCTCCATAATAATATAGGTATAAAGAAATAAATCAAAATGACTCAAAGTGAGAATGAAAGGAAACTAATTTTAACTAATAAGACGTAAAACGAGTGCTTTATATGTTGAATTCTCAACATACATCACATGCCATTATTGTGGCCTACACAACTACCACCCCCTTCTTGCCTGCCCCTTCTGCCCCACCAATCCACCACCTTGCCTCTGACCTCCACCCTTCACACCCTACCCACCACTATGCGGCTATTTTCCTCGTCACAACTACTACCCCATCCTGTCCATCCTTCCCTTTCCATCCCTTGCCCACCCTACCCAAACCTTGCTGCCACTGCCCGCCCCACCCTGTCTGACCCCCTACCCCTACTCTCGCTCTCACTACTCCATGTACCTGACTCCCTCTGCACCCACATGAGGGGGTTGTGGCGACATGGTAGCTATAATGATGACAATAGTCGTATGATGGTCGGTAAGGTGTGGTTGGAATGTTGAGGCTAGGTTGATGGGGGTAAAGTGGTGGATGGCTAGGGCAACAGGGTGGGAAGGGGGTGATAGTTGTGAAGACGACAATAGTGACATGGTAGTTGGTATCGGTTGATCAAGATAGTAGTGGCGTGGTTTTCTGCGGGGCGGATGGGGATGGTGGGGCCAGAGGGGGTGGGCGGTAATGGCATGGTGGTCGGTAATGTGAAGGGACAGTGGGGGTTGTTGGGGAGTCAAGGGTGGGGCATGGCGAGGGGCGGGATGGGTGAGGTGGTAGCTGCGATGGGTGAGGTGGTAGTGGGATGGCTGAGGTGGTAGCAAACCGAACATCAAATCTGCATAAATAAAGGAAACAAAATGTTAAAACCACTCGACTACGCCATTTGGGAATTTCTTTTATTTGGAAGAAGATTTCGAGTAGTGGTCCTCGGCGGAATTTGTGGTGATGGTGGTGTGTGTGTGTGAGAGAGTTTTTAGTTAGAAGGATAAGCGGTGCCTAAGTGGTAATCGGCGAAAGAAGTTGTGGAGTTTTGGTTGGCGCCCTAGTGGAATGGTGGTTGGGAAGGAGAACGAGGAAGGGGACGAGACGGAGGATTGAAGGTGTTAATAAACGAAGGGCATTATATGTAAAATATAACTTATTACCCATATGGAGATGACATCAGGATAGAAACCTGAAAAAATAATCGAAAAACTCATCCAAACTATTAGATTGAGATGAATAAAATATAACAATTTTTTTAGAAAAATGAAATCATTTCCTCCTATATTTTAAATGGAAATTCAACAAAATATAACAAAAATTGGAGTGAAACAAATTCCACCAAAAAAGCGATGGATTTATTATCTTTAGTTTGACATCCATTTTGATATATTTTTTTATCTGTTTTCTTGTGGTTATTCGGGTTTTTTCCAATCTTTTCCTTAAACATATGCTATAATAAAATATAAAATAAAATAATTTTTTTAATATAAAATCAGAAAAAAAAAATATAAATGATCAAATTGCCCTTGATTTAATGGACTTTTTAACAGAGTTAATCAACAACACGAAAAAAGAAAAACAATTTTTAAAGGCCAATAACAAAAATAGTTATAAACAATAATCACAAGGAAAAAAAAATTATAGTTTACTCTTCATTTTATTATTACTGCAAAAATTATACTAACATTAATTTGATGCATCGTTGAAGTCTTTTATATTATAATTTTAAGATGTAATGGGTATAATAGTCATTTTTATTCGCTCAGCACTGATATAAAACATTTGGTAAATATTTGTTTTTAATCAACTGTAATATTCGGATTATTATATTATGTTGTAATATTCGGGTTATTATATTAGATTTAATAATTTAAATCTTTATGTTATATGAATATTTTATTAGAAGTATGTGGGTGTGGGTGACGAGGTTTTGTTTAAGCCGACCTTTGAGGGGCGGTGTATGTTTATCTAAATATTTTGTGTAGAAGTGTGTGGGTGTGGGTGACGTGTTCATGATAGCCGACCTTAGAGAGGCGGTCATACACTTACTATAAATAGCAAGTGTATGTGAAAGAAAAAGAAGCTTAGCACACCTTTGAAACACTTTCTATATTAGGAAAGACTCTATGGCAAATCTTACGGTTTGGCAGAAAAAGAAGAAGAGAATTCAAAGCTAGGATATCTGATTTCTAATGTGAGTGTATTAAAGTTTTGAGTATAAATTGTTTACATACAATTTAATAGTATTTCGAACTGGTTATTATGAATATAAAATGTTGAATTATATGTTTAAGCTTGGTTAAGTTATACCATAGGCTCTGGTCGTATGACCAGAAGCTCTGAAAGAGAGACCAGAAGCTCTAGTAGAGACCAGAGGGGCTCTGGTAGAAGAGACCAGAGGGGCTCTGGTAGAAGAGACCAGAGGTACTCTGGTCGAATATGTGAAATATATTATAAGTCTGGTTAGTTAAACTAGAGGCTCTTGTCATGTGACCAGAAGCTCTGGTAGAGAGACCAGAGGTGCTTTGGTCGAGTATGCCCTAATATATATTCTAAGTATGGTTTGGAACCAGAGGCTCTGGTAGTGAAACCAGAAGCTCTGGAAGAGAGACCAGAGGGGCTCTGGTAGAGAAACCAGATGGGCTCTGGTCGAAGGTGTTAAAATACATTCTAAGGCTGATTAGTTCAACCAGAGGCTCTGGTCGTGTGACCAGAAGCTCTGGAAGAAAGACCAGAGGGGCTTTGGTCCAAATATGTTGGAATATTTTCTAGAGTGTGATTTAGAACCAGAGGCTCTGGTCATGTGACCAGAAGCTCTGGAAGAGATACCAGAAGGGCTCTGGTCCTAGTTGTCGATATAATTTCTAAGTATTGTTTGAAACCAGAGGTCGGATGGACCGAAGCTGTGTGTTTGAAATGGCGGTGTAACCGCGAGAGAGATGTAATGGCGGTGTAACCGCGAGAAAGATGAAATGGCGGTGTAACCGCGAGAGAGATGTAATGGCGGTGTAACCGCGAGAGAGAGATGTAATGGCGGTGTAACCGCGAGAGAGATGAAATGGCGGTGTAACCGCGAGAGAGATAAATATGTTTATGTATCGAAACAGGTTTGTTTCTAAACTTATTGTTTAGAATGTATGTTGTTTGTTTAAAATTTATACACTCACTAGACCTTTTTGGTCTAATGCTCAGTTGTTGGATTAACCGGTTTTGCAGATCATCATACCTCCCAGGATAAAGGAAAGGGAAAAGTTTAGTGTTGATGGCATTTTGTTTACTCATATATGTATTAAAGAAAGTTTTTGTTAGTCCATGTTTTGTAACAATACTATTTTTAATGTTATGAGTATGATGATGTGAATTATATGTTCATGGGCTATATGGGTTGTTACAGTTGGTATCAGAGCCTTAGTTTAAGGGATCTGGGTATTTGCGAAATACTTAGACTTAAACTAGAGGTGTGGAAAGTTTTGATGATAGGTTTCACTGGGTCTATGAACATGAGAATATGTTATAGCTGAAACTATTATGAGAAAGATAGATTATATATGACTGATATAATTTGAGTTATGAGTAGACATGAGGATGAATGTGTTATTATGTTGTGATTATGAGAATAATCATGTGTGTTTCAATGTGACAGAAAGAGTTATCCACTGAGAAATGGCAGAAAATCCCAATCAATCAGAAAGGACCTCTACTGGTTATGGAAGAGGTCGGGGAAGAAGAAGTGTAATACAAGGAGAGGACTCGGAAAATGTAATGACGATCGAAACACGAAGTCGTAGCAGGGGTCGAGGAAGAGGTAGAGGTATTAGACAAGAACAGGAACAATCGGCTCAAGAAAGTTCAATGTTTGGTTATGGAAGAGGAAGGGCAAGGGGTGGATATAATGTTTCTAATCCTGAGTTCATTACTCAAGATATGTTGGCAGCAGAGCTGGGAAAATTTCAGGAAAATTTGGTAAAGCTGTTGGGGCGTACCACCCAAAATAATCCAGATGTGGTAAGAAATTCTGATCAGGAGGAAGCTGGAGCTAGTACACCGATAACTGGTAGAGATGGCCATTTGTAACCGGCCCGGCCCGTAAACGACGGAGGCCCGGAACCGAGCCCGATGGATAACCGTAACCGACCGGGACCGGCCATAACCGGTTAAGGACCGGCGGTTATGAACCGGTTAGGGTAATTTACGATTTTTTGGACCGGAACCGGTTACGCAACCGGTTATGGGCCCGGCCCGG